AGCAAGGGAACCTTTACCTTTTAAAATATATATATAACCAAAACAAGCACGGCTTTTTAATCCAATTTGTTACGTTAATTGTCGCCACCCCCTTTAAGGCTTTCCCAGGGCTTCCATAGGCGGATCCTGCACCTTCCCTCCCCGTTTTTCCGGGCGAATCAAGCACGTTACCTTGTGTAGAATTCCTTCCGGCAGAAGAGCCGGTCCGGAAGGAGAGCGCCCCTTCCACCGACGTTTCTTCTTGCCGATTATTTCTTTCCCGGACAAGGACAGCCAATGAGAAGCCTCCGTCCGTCCTCCTTAACCAACCTGTGCTTTTCTTCCGCCCCTTACGGGTAGATTTCCCCGCCCATTAAAGGCGCAGGGAGTCCACTGGTCGCTGAGATGCAGGGACTGGGAAGAGGGAATCATCCTCGCGCCTGGTCGCCAAGCTCTTCTTCTTCTTCCCAAGCCCCTCCTTGAGCTCTCCCGGTCTCTGCTGCTGGCTTCCGTCGCGGCTCCCGCTCTCGTTCTTGCTTCTCGGCGGCGTGATGGAGGGGCAGCATATAATGGCTCAGGTGCACATCCAGACGCCGGTCTCCTCCTCCTCCTCCTCGTCCTCTGTGGCAGGGGAAGAATCCAGGAAGCTGCCCAATCCGGTCCGAGTGGCAGCCCGGGAAAGGATGGTGGGAGGCCGTTTGTTGGACAGTCATAGCCTGGATGGGATCAGCCAGGTGTATGGAGCCTCCAAGGCCCAGGAAGGCAGGAGGGCCACCATATCCAGCGCCCTGGAGCTGGAGGGGACTGTGAGCCACGATGGGGACCTGACCCACTTTGTGGCCAACAATCTGCAGATGAAGATCAAGATGAGTTCCCGGGGCAGCCTGGATGACACGGAGCCCACCTCCTCCTCCACGATGTCTTCGCAGCTGTCTGTACGGGGCAAAGCCGCAGACATCCCTCCGATCGACCCAGAGGTGATCCGGGATCTGGAGAGGCTGACCAGGGATGTGGCTCAGAGAGTGGACCAGATGCTGAGAGTCTTGAACGGCTCCATCCAGAACATGACGGCCTTGAGCGTGGGCTACATCCAGACTTACCGGGATGCTGTGGACAGCTTGGGTGAATCCGTGGACATGAGCATCAAAGGGATGTACACCCTGATGGCCAGGTGTGAGGAGCTGGACCGGTCCATGCAGCCGGTCCATACTCTTGCGAAACAGATCCGGGAGATCAAGCGGACACTAGAGATCTTTGAGGCGCTTTGCAAGTAATGCCCCTTTCAGGAGGAGGAGTGAACTTGCTCAGCAGTGGGGGGCAAAGGCCAGAGGGCAGGGGGACAGAGAGAACACTCGGTCTGCTGTGATTCAGACTCCAAAAGGGAAATTATGTGTGTTTCTTGCACTGTAATAAATGTATTGTTGCAGTGTCTTCTCAAACTTTATGAAATTTTGCTTCCTCCTTATTTTCCCTGTACATCCAACCTTGAAATATCAGGGGGCTTACAGGTCCAGCTCATGCAACCCTTGC